ATCCCTACAATCGCCTCGTCAAGATTCAGACTCTCGTCGCCACGAACACCTGCTTTTACACAGCCGCCCGCCCTGGGAGTCTGGCCGCGAGCAACCCTCAATACCGAGCCAACAAATGGGTAGGCTGCATCCCCTTTACCCCCGCTCATGAATATCAATGTGCTAATTACCCGTTTGTATAGTTTCTCAACTTGGGAGATATCGAAGTAGAGCGCACTGGTCACTGCTGCTGGCAGGTCAGATGGTCGTTCAAACATCACAAGGTAACTCTGACTTTTATATACTCACACTCGTCGATCTAATGTCCTACGCAGGGCTGGAATGGTGCAAGAGGAAAACTCAATGAATACGTTTTGCAGTCTGTCAAATGCCCTCAGAACGTCTTGTTTGACGCTGCAGCCTGTATCATCGTCTTTTTGTTTCTGCGCGGTGCCTTTGAAGAGGATTTTAAGGCCCGTATTCTTTGCGATCTGACCGCCAAACACATGCTCAACCTTTTCCTGATGCGTGCCTCGATAGACCATCGCCGATCTATGCAACTACAAGGGTGCGTATTTGCGGATCAAGGAAGACATGAAAGATCAGCCATTGTATGTTTTTGTGACGCTCCCTTCTCCTCCTTCCGTCTCCTCACACTGCCCAAAGGTTCCTCAAGTCCACCCCTGGTGGCCGTAGCCTTCACTGGGACCCAGCAGTCCCCTGTCTTGCGGTCAATGTTTCTCGAAGCATGACCCATCATGCCAGAGCTGCCGGGATGCCTCAAGGGCCACTGGGGCTCTACACCATACGGCGAGATACTGTCAACGATGTATGTGCCCCTCGGATTACTTTCACGTTGACCTCGCAACTGAACTGTTTGCAGTTTACTATTAAATTCGATCGTAGCACGGGCCAGTTCCTTGCCGGGCATGCCGCAGGAGACACCGTGCTCGACATGAATTATACCAGGAAAACGGCAAATGTGCAAGTGGTGGGCCACAGGCTCGGAGAAATTATCACCGACCAGACAGAGTCTGTAGAAGTAAGTTCCCTATTTTTGACGGCCTCCTGTGTTGTCTCTTATGCGCATATCCTAGGAAATCAAGAAAATGCATAGGCACGCCTCAGCTGCGCTCTATGCCCTGCTGGGCCGTAAAGCGATGGAAGCGGGCGCCAAGGCTCCAGCACCTCAGCCAGGCCCTCGGCCGACAACTCTTGGCAGCATCCCTTTGACCGAGGAGATGCGCGCAGCAATGGAGGTCAGCAACACGTTTTTTTTTTCGACGTACAGCAGTACTCACCCTTTCAAAAAAAAAAGTCCACGGAAAAGTGGCAATCGCTTTCTGCTGCTGTCAAATCAGCCTGGGAAGACTTTCTCTCGCTATACTCTCCTGAAGAGCGTGCTTCTCTACCAATTGCTGTGATGCAGAATCTCAAGAGGTGTGTTCAGCGTGCCGCCGAATGGCCTGAGCCGAAGAGGTTGCAGCTTCAAGCTGCTGAAGATCGGCTCCGAGAGGCAAACACCGCCTTTCAGGCCCACGAGCGAGTCGCTCGGGTCACCGCGCGCAAGGCGAAATCCAAGGCACTCCATACAAATAGACTCCCTGCCGAATTCGAAACCACAGACGCACTGTATGAGGGGTATGAAGAGCTCCAGCAGCCTAGCGCCCTTCTTACCAAGGCCGTCCAGGAATCTAGGCTTAGGCCCCCCCTTGGCAGCACTCTCCCCTCTGCGTCAACTACATCAGCTCAAGCTCCATCCTCATCCTCATCGTCTCGACAGGCGACTCCTGATGCCGACTCACCTTCAGAGCAAGCGTCGTCATACGTCCCTCCTAGTCGACTCAATCTTTCCCTAGGACCTGATGCGCTCAACGACATTGAGCAAGATTGCCCTGATTTCTCCATCGACGAGACTCTGTACAAACCGCCCTCTCCTCAACCTGCGGAAGCCTCGGGTGCCACTCTTGGCAGTGACGACGAGGATCTACAGCCAGAGTTTGATGATGTGGACCCCTCGGAGTTCCACGCTATCGAGCCTATCATTGGTGATGATGACCATGTAGATTTTGAAGGAGATGAGGAGGACGACAACGAAGACCCTCCATTGGACGACACTCGGGAAGGCAATGCCGAGGACTCGGAAGACGACGCCCCTCAGCTTGGGCAAGGCTATCGCCGCGCAGTGGAAGCTCGCGTCTACGGAGAAGAACGTAGGCAGGCGGGGGAGACTGAGCATTTTCCAGAGGATCCTTCTGCCGAACCTTTTGCCGTTGACGACGCAGCACAGCTTGACGATATAGACCAATATTCCAACATCAAAGAGGTGCCTACTCCTATGTTACGACAGCTATTCATGGAGTTTTTGGCTGCGCCTGTCCTACAGGAACGAGCTCGTGATGCGGTTTGTCGAGTATGCTCTCATACCATCGTTTTACACTCAACTTAATATTTTCAACAGGCAAACGAAGAAATGCTCTGTATAGACTGCCAAGCCTACACGCACAACCCAGAACGGATGAACAAGCGATACCCAACATTGAGCAAACTCTATCGCCATCAGTAAGCTTGATCCCAAGATTTCATCTCTTCTCGAGGCTGATCTAAATCCCAGGGCACTTCACACCGACTGGTACGACATTGAGCTGCGCATGATCACTCCGGACCCCGAAGTGTTTGCTTGTCCCAGCTGCCATGATACGTACGAGGGCATCTAACTGTTCAAGGAAATCCAAAATGAATTTGCGCTCATCCCGTTTTTTATTCCCAGATTTCAATCCGTCCAGATGGCAAAGAAACATTGCCTCACCAAATGCAAGGACAAAGACGACTACATCAAAATGCGAGACAATGGCGAGCAACAGCATACCACTGCTCGACTGGGGGCACAAGGCACGCCTAGGACTACAGGGGTCAAGCCGGCCCAAGATATCGGCGCGCACCCCTCTGTGGTTGATTCTCACATCAATGCGCTTGCTGAGTTGACCTGGGAGGAACTGGAGCGTGCGGACAAGTGGGTATGTGCAATACGACAACCGCTCTCACGTTATCAGTCACACTCAATCCTGGAATATTCTTTGCTCTGTAGGGAATCCTGGAGCCCATTAGCGATAGGGTCAAATATCTGCTGGAGATGATGCGACGTTGTCGGGATCGTGATAACAAGGTCATCGACTCTGACGGCCTCCAGAAGTCACTCGCAGAGCTTATTGACGAGTATGTAGTAGAACACGATTGAGGGCTATTTTTATTCTCTCTACCCATTGTACCAATATTTTCAACCAGTCAAACCTCTTGTAGCCATGCCTCTGAGCGTACTAGATCTGACATCGACGACCAGGAGGTTTTGTTTTCCTTGCTTTGTCAGCAAATCCTATCTACTCCCTTTAGAAAATTAAGATTACTTTCGCCACCGCGCATCCATCATCGCATCTCTGACCACTGTAGAGTGTGCTCCTTTCCAACCACAAAATCGTGCTCTGGTGGTCACTTTTTCTGCTCTTGGGATCGCTTGCCCCCATCTTGCCCCAATCGCACTCACAAATTACCGCATATACGCACCCCAAATACACCTCTGCTCGCACCCCCAATGGCTCGAGACGTCACCCAGGCCCATCGCAAACGCCCCAGCGACTCTCCAAAGTCCCAAGGCACCGCTAAGAAGCAGCGACCTCAAGTCGCGTCTAGTACCAGCTCTTTTGTGGCTACAGACAGAGCTACCCGTCACGATCAGACAGTGAGCCTCGCTTTGCACGGTTAACAAATGTGATATGCTGTGACAGCTAACATCAATCTTCAGCCTGTTAACCGCAATAAAGACAACAAGGGCAAGGGCCCACAGGCGCCCTACAAGAATCGCGTATACATTTCCGTCTTTTTGCCATACAATGCTACATGCTCAAACAATATCGCGATGCCAGCCGACCCGACAGTCTACAACCCCTGTTTATCAAGTGGATCCCGATTGTGACTCTGACAGCGACGATGAATATGCGCCTGAACATTCAGATGCTTCCGCCCACGAGGAAGACTATGAGCTCCGCGCCTCCGAAAGCCCCCAGCCCGATTCACCCCCTCCACCACCGCAGAAGCCATCAAAAAAGACCCCGCTGGTCGCCCCTGCCATGGCACCTCCCAAAGCCCCCGCCAAAGCGTCCACCATCCCATCCACCCGCGCCCCGAAGCAAGCTGCCGTCTCGAGAACTGCTCCGCCGACCAAAGGCACTCCTGCCACCAAGTCTAGTGGCGCTCAGAAATCCCTGACCACTACCACGAATCCCTCCGGAGCACCTGCTTCTGATCCTGTACCACCCTCATCGCTAGTGCCGTCATCCTCCACTTCTAATCCCACTACAACCGCTCTCCCTGCTGCGCCCGCGAAGCTCAAACTCACCAAACCAATAATCGCATCCATCGCCAAGCTTGCCATGGCCATCCCTGTTGCTGACGGAAAAGTTATTGAGAAGGTTGCTGCAATGCAGCTCGAAAGCGTGAAGACCCAAAACAGCACCCTGGCCACCGCCGAGCGTCTGTTATCCAAAGGCTGGACCCCTTCTCAGATACTCCAACTTGCTGGGCTTTCACTCGCTGATCCTGATAAGTAGCCCTTTTTTCACGCTTATTCTGTACTTTCTGTTAATTGCACTCAGACTTGGTCTGCCGGGCTTGCTTTTTCGTCACGGTGTCATTTTGTGAGCGGCTTCAAGATTATTTACTGCTTTTCCGTCATTCCCTTGCTCTTCGCTTTTGTACTCATGCTTAACGCCCTCACTCGTACTCTCCGCTTTTCTTAAATGTCTATTCTATAAGATGTGTCAATGATCACCACTGCGCACCTCCACAGCACCATGTAAAATTTTCCACTTATCTTCCCGGATGCTCTATGCGTATTCCTCACGGCCTTGATACCCTAAAGCTCATGCACCTCCCGCACGCCTGGTCAATGGTACTTCTCAACCATCTCCCTCACGGCCCAACGCCAAAAGATCCAGCAAAAGCAATGCTCTGCGCGCGAGCAAAAATGCTCCGTGCAGGATTCGAACATGCGACCTTAGGATTACCACAACTTATGTAGTCATACTTAAATATGAGACCTACGCTCTACCAACTGAGCCAACGAAGCTTACATTATCCACCGGTAGGGTAGCAAATTGTCCATCGGCAGCTGAGCACATGAGTCTAGCAGATTACTGGCGTCTGATTAACTGCAATGGGGTAATTATCTTCTTTCGAGCTAGCGTGTCTTTAACGTTCCGGCCTCATGGGGTGCTGCGGACGCTAGTTGAAATGTAGGAAAGCGCGAAACCCTTGCCTTCGTGCAAGGTAGGCACCGGAGGCGGACAGGCCGACGACAATTCAGATTAGTGGCCGCCGACCCCCGAGATCCTTCGAGCACCTCACGGGCACGATACAACAAGAGTTAAGGCCCAAGGCGTATATGGACAACGTCAGGAAATAAGCATACAATTTAGAAGCCTATAAAATACACAGGAATATACAAGATTAGAGAGCCTTATGATACTTCGTAATGTTTTCTACGTGAATTTTGATATATGGGTGACTAAAGGAACCGGGGAGGAACGAGTGGGATGAAAATCAGGTTATCGCAGGTAGCTTGCTCATCGAGGCAACAGGTGTCTAGAAGAGCGGCGCTCAGTATGGGCGGAGGTTAACGAGATTTGAGGCCTGGCGGACGTACCGCTTGAGGTCGAGGTTCCTTTTTCCGTGCGGCTCGCCGCGGTGATTCCACAGGCGTGAGGGGACGTAGAGGGTCGCTTTGGGGCTGCTCAATCCTCAACCTGTGATGTCCATCCTCAGATATTACTTCTTGTACCGGAACGCCATATGACCCAGTTTCCAGGTCCGGATGCCTCCTTTTGCGCCTCTCGGTAGCGCGCTTGGCCAAGTACACCACAAATCCGAGCACTATTACGAGACCCGCGACTGAGCATTTCGAAGATTAAAGTAAGATTGCGCAGTAGTACAAGGAATGTTCGGTGCTCACGGTATGCAATCGTGACACCTATACGTTTGCCATTTGAGCAATGTGGACAAATACCACTGTGCCCCATCCCTGTACCTCCCGCTGCGGCGGGAAGGGCAAGGGCAAGTGCAACGATGAGCTGCATCATCGATGACGGAGTAAGCCCAAGGAAGCAGGGGGATTTGCGCGGGGTCAGGACAGGGTCAGGAGAACTCTTGCTTTTTGAGGGCTTCGTGACTCCAGAGCGTGTGAATTGTCGTCAAGGGTTCCCGTCGTATAAACGAGATTAGGGATAGATCTACCTGCACTTGGTAAGAAAGGGTAGGAAGCTCTGCGATCCAATTCAGGGACGAAGTGTCTCACCACACAATATCCAAGCCTTGCACTTGTGGCTGCTTGTGGGGGGGGGGCGATTCGTCCCCAACTTGATACGTTCTGTACCTTCCTGAATATAACCTGTACAAGATACTCAATGAACCGACGAAATTAAAGAATAATAGCGCTGGTTTCTTACCTGCACAAAGGACCGCATGTTCACGTAATGCAAGATGGAATCTGGTCGCGTAAATGCCCCTATCAGCATCACCATTCAAAACTTCTCAAATTTTCGGGCATGAAATGGCGCCAAGATGCTATTGGTTGAAAGAGAGGTCCCGAAATGAGATTGATGACGCTGAGACGTTACATATGCTGTCGTTGTTTCCTGGGTTGCGCATAGCTCTCGCGATATAAGCCATTTCTCCTGGAAGTAGCTCCGCTCGAGCCCTCCGCTGTCCGCATCCGAGTATGCGACCCCCAGCAATTGTCCAAGCCCACTCTATTTAGGCCCGATTCAAGTATGTTTGGCCGTGCCAGCGTAGAATTTCTCACGACTAATGGGACGATCTTCCAAGGGCGCGCTGAGGTACGTACGCGCCCTTCTGCAAGTTCTAAATGGCCATAAGATTAGCGCCTATATAGCCCGGTCTGAGAGGGCGGTGTTATTGGCAGGTCAAGCGTGATTGACCGGTGCGAAACGTTCGACTCAGATCTTGAGTGCCGTGTCGAATTTTCGATGCCGCATTATAACTGCTGGACTGAGAGGCCGAATAGAGGCAGTTCAAAATGTTTGGCGATACCAGCGTAAGCACAGGCTCGGATGACCTGCAGAAACGGAAACGATCATAAGTCTGGCCTAGATTAGAATTCTGACAAGCGCTCAAGAAAAGGGGGGCTCTGCTAGAGTCTGGACGATGCCAGCTTCCAAAACGTCGAGCTTCAAGTTCTCCCGGATGCCGGCGAATGACCCTGCGTACATCGCAAAGAAAAGACGCACCTACTCGAAATTTCCGAGGGGCGGCGGTGACTCGGGGTCGGTGATGGTGGTGACTCGACGTGTCCGCGGGTGCAGCCCCTCTCAAAGGAGGTCACGTGGTCGCACTTACATGATGTCCTCATTGCGGCTCCTGGCTCTCTACATCCACCATCCACCACGCCACGGCCCACAGACCCCTCGCGCTGCTCCCATCGCCCATCGCCACATCCACCCGCCATGTCTGACGAATCCGACTACTACATGGACGACTCGGCGTCCGATAACTACTACGACGATGACGACGATGAGATGGTCGACGGCACCCAGGACTCTGACCGTGGTGCGCTCGAGTGCAATCTGAATTCGCTTTCGAACTCAAGCTAATGAAAGCTTTTAGAATCGTCGCCCGCCTCAGAAGGCGAGGCTTCGGACGATGATGCCTTTGGCGTCGAGCTCAGCGCTGCGGCATTGGGTAAAGTGAAACGCAAGTCGTATGAAGTCAACTTTGAGACGCTCTCCGACGCTGCCGTTGACCGCCTCATGAACAAGGAGGCCGAGCACGTCGCTGGAATTTTTGGCCTCGAGGTACGCCCATTTTTCGCGTTGGGCGGCAAAAGCCAATGATCGTGCATAATGACTTACACCGCCACCGCGTAGCCGAGCACGGCCCTCCTGCTCCTCCGCCATATGGCCTGGAACAAGGAGCGCCTGATCGAGAAGTACATGGACAACCCAGAGGCCGTCCGCAAGGACGCCGGCATCCTTGCCGCCCCGCCGCTGGCCCCGACCTCGTCCTCGTCGTCAGCAGGCGTCCGCCGATCGGCTCGGCGCGCAAACTCCGTACAGCCCTCTGCTCCCCCGTCCACTCCATTCATGTGCCCTGTCTGCTGCGATGACGAGCCGCCGAACACGTACGCCCTCGCCTGCGGCCACGCCTTCTGTTCTACATGCTGGGAAACATACTTGCACACCAAAGTTCGCGAGGAGGGCGAGTTTACCGTGCGCTGCATGGACTCCGACTGTAAACTTTTAGCAGATGATGCGTTTATCGCGCGCGTTTGCAGCAAGGAAGATTCCAAACGACATCACGAGCTCGTCTCCCGCAACTTTGTCGGCAATTCTTCTCAGTACAAGTTCTGCCCTCTCCCGGGCTGCTCATACACCATCTCCTGCCCGTCTGCGGCCAGCAAGTCGTCTCTGATGACAATCGTTCCCACGGTCAAGTGCCCCGAGAATCATGTCTTTTGCTTTGGATGCTCCCTTGACCAGGACCATCGACCTCTCATATGTCATGTGTCAAAGCTGTGGCTGAAAAAGTGCCAAGACGACAGCGAGACGGCAAACTGGATCAAGAGTAACACGAAGGAGTGCACAAAGTGCCAAAGCACGATCGAGAAGAACGGCGGGTGCAACCACATGACCTGCAAGAAATGCAAGAACGAGTATGTACATTGTCCTTTCCTTCAATATTGTCAAGGCATGCTCTAATCCATATGCCTAGATTCTGCTGGGTATGCATGGGTCCGTGGGCAGAGCATGGAAACGCATGGTACACTTGCAATCGCTATGAAGAGCGAGAGGGTGTTGAGGCCCGTGATGCGCAATCAAAGAGCCGCGCATCTCTCGAGCGGTACTTGCATGTACGTTTGCTGCATGCCGTTATTGGCCGGTACCTTGTTCTCACCATGTTCCATCTACTTGACTTGCAGTACTATAACCGCTGGGCAAACCACGAACAATCCGCACGACTCTCGCTCGACTTGTACTCCAAGACCGAGAAGAAGATGGAGGAAATGCAGACGACGTCGAACCTCACGTGGATTGAGGTACAATTTGCCAGGAAGGCGGTCGATGAAGTTTTCAAGTGCAGGATGACTCTCAAGTGGACGTACGCGATGGCGTTCTATTTGGCAAAGGGCAACGAGAAAGAACTCTTCGAAGACAATCAAAGGTATGACTCCTTGTGTCCTTCAACTTTCACGGAGCTATTCGCTGATTTTCTTTGGTGCTGATACAGGGATCTGGAGAAGGCTGTAGAGGACCTGTCCGAGTTATTGGAGAGCCCCATCGACCCGGACAATATTCCCGTACTCCGACAAAAGATGACCGACAAAACGGTGGGCTTCCTATATGTTACCTGACTCTATGATTCAATCTGACCTTCCTTTTGCATTAGGTCTACGTCCTGAAGCGTAATGAAATCTTGCTCGACGACACTGCCCAGGTATGGCCCTCTCCTTGATATTAAGTTTGACCTTTTTCTAACAGTCGCTCCCATTGTACAGGGCTACCTCGATGGCAGATGGAAATGGAATGCAGATGCAGCAATCTTGAATGAAGCCGAGTGAAGAGTCATTCTACTAATCGTCACTCGCAGACAGTTTTCTCTATATACGCAGTGCGCTGCCTACTCTTACCTTCCCCCACCACCAACACCACCATTCACGTTCGACCCATCCCCTTTCCACCATCTCTTTTCGATTTACCATTGAGCCTGTTACTCACCGCACTAAACTCGTTCCCTTGTTCCTCAACTCCCATTCTCAGCCTGTTTCTTTTTAGTACCTTTCCTTTCATATCTTTTTTCGATGGTCATGTTTCATTCGATCATGTGCAATAGTCGTAGAGTCAAATCTCCTTTGGAGACTTCTACATTCTACTCAAGGCTGAGCGAGCGTGCAGTGTCCTCCCTTCTGGAGGCCAAGGGGGCCTCAAGCCTAGAACGGCGGTGGAGTGTCTACGGATCATGCTTACAGGATACTCCTTAAGCACGAGCTTTCGGTGCGCTCGCCGCCAGTTTAACTGCGCTTACTCTTCATCAGGCAGACCACGCCCATCACTGAGT